TAAGACAAACCAAACAGACTCCCCCCCCCAAAAAAAAAGTACAGGTATTGAAAATAACACATGGTGTCATTTTGTCTGTGCGTTTTCAAAAGCCAGCTCAGAATCATTGCTGCAAGTTGGCTCATTCAGTATTTTTTTAAACCCTTTTTCCGAAAAGGAAGCAACACGTTGAGTTTCATCGACGGTTTTAATTTGTTTAAAAGTGTAGGTGTTTTACACCCCCATCAACACAATGTAGATAATTTAACAGGCGGGCTTCCAACCCTGTTTGTAGGGCCAACCCGGGCAGAGAGCGGTGTATCTCAGCAGAAAGACGAGAGAGTCCATACAAATCATTTCCTCTAACTCGGGAATTGAACTTGGGTCTTCTGTGCGGGACAGCGAAGCGCCTCAGCTACACTACACACACCGGTCCTTCGATTGTTACAGATACTGTTGAGACTTCGTCTTGGTTTATCCCCTCCCCCCCAAAAAAAAATATTTAAAAAATTACAGTCTCCATCATTATCGCTCCCTTGGAAACTTCCTTTGTCCACTCTGTATCTCTGTTCTTGTTTCTTTATCTGTCATATTTAAGCTCGTGACGAACTTGGACTCAGAGCCCGGTAAAACGTGTACCGTAAACTGTAACTTACAACGAACCAGCCTAATAATTTAATAACTGGCCGGGGTTGGGGTTGTTTTTTTGTTTTGTTTGGGGGGGGGGGATGATACAGCGTTACAAAGCTTTGAACCCCACCCCATCCCACCCCACCCTTTTTTCTTTAACCCCAATCTCTTTGTAGTACAGGTAGGGGAAATACAAACCCTGCTCCTCAGTTTCGAGATAGTTCCATATTTTACGCTAAACAAATTTAATGCGCGTTGGCTATATAACGAAGAGCTTTCTAGCACACTTTTCATCGATCGGGGAGTCTCCCATACACTGTACACCTGCCAGCCCTCTCTGCCTGTCGATATTCATTACAGTTACACCCAAATAAAAGGGGAAAAGGGACATAATACACGAGAGTGGCATCTGATTCAAACGACTCTGCATATCCAGCTGAAAAAAATCCCATACCATTCTTATCATTCTTCTAGTAACGACCATGGGTGAGTATCAAGCAGTGTTGGACAAATACAGGGCACGTGCTGTGGCCTTTGAGAAAGACACCAGCGGTTGGAAGGAGTCGTCAAAATCAACAGTGAGTTCTTTACAGTTTGTTGATTTGATAGGACCATGATGCTGTATGATTATATAATATGATAATGTTATTGAATGTGTTTAGTGTCCCGTTTTGTTGGCGCTCATATGACCTTATGCAGCTGTGAGCGCCGTAAAACCTTATACAAAAATAAACATAGTGTCCCCATTTAAATAGGATATTATGCAAAATCCGGGACTTTCAAATTAAACGACCATCTTACTCTTACAAAGGGAACTCAGTGGATGAGAGCCTTGGGAACCCCCCAGACAACTAAGTTCAATAATGAGAGTGCGGAAATTTGCGCCGGATTTTATTGGTTGCATCGATGGTGATGTATCGAAAAAGTCTACCAGGTGTGACTAAATGAATTAACTTATTTTGCTCACACAGACCCAAGAACTATCAATATTCTTGCTGGAGGAACAAAAAGATAAAAAAATAAAATAAATAAAAACAAGAG